AGATGCAAGGGAAGAAGTGCATCTGAAGAAATGAGGTTCTTACCCACGAAAGCTTATGCTCCCAATACTTCTGTTAGTCTCAAAGGTGCCACAGGACCCTCTGTTGCTTTTTACAGATTCAGACTAACACGGCTACCCCTCTGATACTTGACACTGTAGGGAGATGCCTTTGACTTCCTAGCAGCCCCATTCTGTGCCAACATCCAAATACTGGACACTTGAGCCAGGTTTTCTGTGTCCTAAATGTATACACATGGTATGGTTGTCTAACCTGACTGCGAAAGGACTCAGTCACAAAACTGTTAAATTAAATATTACAGCATTTCAAAGCTTCATAGGGTGTCCCTCAAAAGGAAATCTCCTTTGACCTGTAATTGTTTCCAGTTCTCCATATTTTCTCATCAGTTATTTCTCTACACAAACATCCTACAAGCGCAACTTAGCTTCATGTTACCAGTGAATGCTGGAAGTCCTATTAGCTCACTATGGCTATGGTAATAATGAGAACAGGGATGTGTGTTTCAAAACTGCTTAAGTGTAGCTACCTTACTAATCATAGCTGCATTTGTTTTACATTATTAAATCACGTACAATTCTCCCCTCTCCCCCCCGCCTGGTGAAAAGGTTCCTTCATTAACAATGATGAATGATTGGTGTTGCCTATATATTTCCCTATGCGTGTTTACTCAATTTACTGAGCACTGAATTAACTGTTAGTTCCCTTTCACCTTTAAAATGCCAGTCTTTTTTCATTCTCTTTGTATGTGACATTGAAGGCTCATGAAAATTTTCCTGGTTGGCCCAAGTCCTCAACAGACAGTGTAAGCACATCACAAACCCTAGCAATCAGGTTTCCCACAATACTGTCCCATGGTTGTGCATAAACCCACACATTTTAAGGATGAGCAGGGAATTAATTCTCCAGGGCATATATTCAGTCCTTGGCCTGTCCAATAAGATTGGTGCCTGTAGCAGGGTGGTTACTCCACTCCTGCCTGGAAAGGCTTAAAACAGCCCTGGCAGAGGGCTGCAGCTCTAAAAGCTGGGCTGATTGGGGAAGTAGCCACAGCTGGGCCATGCCCCAATCATGCCACAGCTGGCCCGTATAAAAAGGCTGGGGGCCAGGAGCTCAGCAGTCTGTCTCTGCACTCTGAGAGAGAAGGGCCTGGCTGCAGGGAGCTAAGACAGAGTATCTGGGTGGAGCAGGGCTGGGGAAAGGCTGAGGAGCTGGGGAGCTCCAGCCTGGATAGCCCCAGGCTGTGGCCCAGTAGGAGGCCAAGGAGGACTGGGGGTTGCAGAGGGCAGCCCAGGGGTAGGCCAAGGCAGCAGATCCAAACTCAACCTTGCCTGTGATGAGTGGCCTATACTGCAGACTGCCTCAGGGAGCGGGGGCTAGTTGGTGACTGGCAGTGGCCTTATTCTGAGGTGAGGTGGGGATAGTGGGTGGGGGTTCCCCAGGCAGGGGAGACCTTAAGACTAAGGGGTTGCTGCCAGGGGGCAGCACCCCAGACAAAAGGGCACCGGGGTCCGGGAGGGACACGGGGACTGGAGGACAGGTGGACCACTGGCCTGCAGGGGGCGCTCCAACGCTGGAAGAGCTAATTCCCAGAAGAGACCAGCAGGAGGTGCCGCAGGGGTGATTCCGTCCCTCTACAGTGCCAATTAGGATTAGTTGCAATGTGGATACCTGCCACCATTTCAATTCACACAAGCCACCATACAGATATCAAAGGGTAAAAATGTTGATTACTTATGACTTGGGCTGGATTTGAACTGGAAATGAAAAGCTACACATCAAATTGCAATTTCAAAGTGTATATCTACACTGCACACTGAGCCTGGGCTCTCACTCAGGTTTGAGGCCAAACGCCATCTTCCATCTACACACAGATCAGCTTGAGTCGGGTTAGCAACCACTCAGGACCTGGCCTGCGGGGTGGGGGGAGGGAAAGAGTCAGAGACCAAGTCCCACTGCACCTCGGGTGCAAGCACTGTCGTATTGCAGTGTGGACACAGCTCAAGTCACAGACCTGGGTCAGAATGTCTGCATAGTGCAGTATGGATGTTTAGCATGGCTGAGACACCCGGGTCTAGCAATTGTAAACCCAGGTTTACAATGGAGTGCATATGCTCAAGCATGGGCTTAGAAACACTGAGTCTACAAGTCCAGGTCCCATAGACCCTGACTTAGTGTGCAGTGTAGACATGCCCC